CCCCTGAGCACCTGGGGAACCCCTGAGCACCTGGGGAACCCCCCTGAGCACCTGGGGAGCACATGGGGAACCCCCCTGAGCACCTGGGGAACACCTGGGGAGCCCCCGAGCACCTGGGGAACCCCCCCTGAGCACCTGGGGAAACCCCCTGAGCACCTGGGGAACCCCTGAGCACCTGGGGAACCCCTGGGGGACCCCCTGAGCACCTGGGGACCCCCTGAGCACCTGGGGAACACCTGGGGAACGCCCCTGAGCACCTGGGGAACCCCTGAGCACCTGGGGAACCCCTGGGAACCCCTCCATAGCACCTGCGGAGCCCCCTGAGCACCTGGGGAACCCCCCTGAACTGTGGGTGACCACCTGGGAACGCCCTGGGACCCCCCCCAAACCGTGGGTGACCCCCTGAAAACCCCCCACACACCTGGGGACCCCCTGGGAACCCTCCATGACCGTGACCCCTTGGCACCCTCCCAAACACCTGGGACCACCCCCCAGGACCCAGTTTTGGGGTCCCCTATCTCCCTGGGTGCCCCCCAATCGCAGACCCCTCCCCAAATCCCACATCCCCCCCCCCCTTCCAGGCCTCCAGGTGGGAGTGGAAGCGGCTGAAGGCGAAGACCCCCAAAAATGGACCCCCCCCTTGTCCTCGGCTGGGCCACAGCTTCTCCCTGGTGGGCAACAAGTGTTACCTGTTTGGGGGGCTGGCCAACGACAGCGAGGACCCCAAAAACAACATCCCCAGGTACGGGGCACCCCAAAACCCCAGGGCACCCCAAAACCCCGGGGGCACCCCAAAAACCCTGGGAATCTGTGGGGGGAGGGGGCTTGGGGCTGGTTTGGGGGCACTTGGGGGGTGTGGGGGTGAGGCTGAAACATTGGGGTCATTTTTAGGGGGCACCCCAAAACCCCGGGGCACCCCAAAAATCTCAGGGATGACTGAATGGGAGGGGGCTTGGGGCTGGTTTGGGGGCACACAGGGATTTTTGGGGGGCGTGGAGGTAAGCCTGAAAGATTGGGATCACCTTTGGGGGGCACAGGGACCTTTGAAGGTGCACCCCAAAACCCTGGGAGCACCCCAAAACCCCGAAAATAGAGTTGAGATGGGGGGCTTGGGGACATTCCCCGGCTTTGGGGGGACAGGGGGACCTTTGGGGGACACAGAAGTGACCCCAAAACTTTGGGGTAACTTTTGGGGGGGCTCAGGGATCCCTGGCAGGGTCACAGGTGACACTGGCACCGTTCTGGGTGCGTTTTAGGGGATTTGAGAACCCTTTTAGGGTTGTTTTGTGTCCCCAAAGACTCTTTTAGGGGTGTCCCATGTCCCCCACCACCCTTTTAGACAGTCCCACATACCCAAACACCCTTTTAGGGCTTTTTTGGGATGTCCAGATGTTCTTAATCCCCTCCTCAAATACCTGAACACCTGGACACATGGACACAGGTGTCTTTGGGGTCATTCTGAATGCATTTTATGGGATTTAAGGACCTTTTTAGGGCAGTCCCATATCCCCAGGCACCTTTTTTGGGATAGTCCTGTGGATGCAAACACCTTTTTAGGGCAGTCCCACATTTCCTAGCCCTCCTTTAGGATATTTTTGGGGTCTCCTGATTTTCTGAACCACCTGCAGATGTGGGCACAGGTGTCTTTGGGACCACCCTGGCTGCATTTTATGGGATTTAAGGACCTTTTTAGGACAATCCCATATCCCCAACCACCGTTTTAGGGAAGTCCTAAATATCCTACCACCTTTTTAAGATTTTTTTGGGGTGTCCAGACCTTTTTAATCCCCTCCCAACACACCTGAACCACCTGCACATGGGCACAGGTGACACTGAGCACGTTTTATGGGATTTAAGGGACTTTGAGGGCAATCCCATATCCCAAACACCCTTTTAGTGCAGTCCCACACATCCAACCTCCCTTTTAGGGTTTTTTGGGGTCTCCTGACCTTGTCAATCTCCTGCCACCTGTACACATGGACACTGATGTTTTTGGGGCCATCCTGATGGCATTTTATGGGATTCAAGTGGCCTTTTAGTGCAGTCCCACGTATCCAACCTCCCTTTTAGGGTTTTTTTGGAGTCTCCTGACCGTGTCAGTCTCTTTTTCAGATACCTGAACCACCTGTACAGGTGGACACTGATGTTTTTAGGGCCATCCTGATGTCATTTTATGGGGTTTAAAGAACCTTTTAGTGCAGTTCCCCACATCCAACCACCCTTTTATGGTTTTTTATCGGCTCTCCTGAGCCCGTGTCCCTTTCCTCAGGTACCTGAACGACCTGTACGTGCTGGAGCTGCGCCCGGGCTCGGGGGTGCTGGCCTGGGACATCCCCATCACTTACGGGGTGCTGCCCCCTCCCCGGGAATCCCACACGGCCGTGGTGTACACGGAGCGCGACGGGCGGCGCTCGCGCCTCGTCATCTACGGCGGCATGAGCGGCTGCAGGCTGGGGGACCTGTGGACCCTGGATATCGGTATGGGGGGTTTGGGGGCTTTGGGGGTTTTTTATGGGGTTTTTATGGGGTTTTGTGGGGTTTGGAGAGGTTTGGGGTCAGGGGAATGGCAGGTACTGAGGTACACTGCAGGCTGTTGGTGTCTGTGGGGGCATGAGCGGCTGCAGGCTGGGGGATTTGTGGACATTGGATACTGGTATGGGGGGTTTTGGGGGGGCTTTATGGGGTATTGTGGGGTTGTGGTGAGGGTTACTGGGGGACATCGTCATCTATGGGGGCATGAGCGGCTGCAGGCTGGGGGACCTGTGGACATTGGATATCGGTATGGGGGGTTTGGGGGTTTTTGTGGGGTTTTTTTTGGGTTTTGTGAGGGTTTTGTGGGTTTTTTGGGGGGTTTTTATGGGCTTTTGGGGGGTTTTATGGGGTTTTGGGGGGTTGTGGGGGGGTTTTGTGGGGTTTGGAGGGGTTTTTAGGGGGTGGGGGGGGGGTTTTGTGGGGTTTTTATGGGGTTTTGGGGTCAGGGCAGTGAGGGTTACTGGGGGAGATCGTCATCTACGGGGGCATGAGCAGCTGCAGGCTGGGGGATTTTTGGACCCTGGATATCGGTATGGGGGGGTTTGGGGTTTTATGGGGTTTCTTTGGGGTTTTGTGAGGGTTTTGTGGGTTTTTTGTGGGGTTTTTATGGGCTTTTGTGGGGTTTTGGGGTGTTTTATGGGGTTTTGGGGGGGTTTTGTGGGCTTTGGAGGGGTTTCGTGAGGGTTTTGTGGGGTTTTAGGGAGTTTTGGGGTCAGGGCAATGGAGGGTGCTGAGGGACACTGGGGGTTTGGCACCTTTGGGGGTATGAATGGCTGTTTCCTTACGTTTTAGATTGGTTGTCGTGTGGGGGGGCATGGGGAGCTGCGGGGTGGGGGATTTTTGGACCCTGGATATCGGTATGGGGGGGTTTGGGGTGTTTTGTGGGGTTTTGGGGGGTTGTGGGGGGGTTTTGTGGGGTTTGGAGGGGTTTTTATGGGGTTTTTATGGGTTTTTATGGGGTTTTTATGGGGTTTTGGGGTCAGGGCGGTGAGGGTTACTGGGGGACATCGTCATCTATGGGGGCATGAGCGGCTGCAGGCTGGGGGACCTGTGGACATTGGATATCGGTATGGGGGGTTTGGGGGTTTTTGTGGGGTTTTTTTTGGGTTTTGTGAGGGTTTTGTGGGTTTTTTGGGGGGTTTTTATGGGCTTTTGGGGGGTTTTATGGGGTTTTATGGGGTTTTGGGGGGGTTTTGTGGGGTTTGGAGGGGTTTTGTGAGGGTTTTGTGGGGTTTTAGGGAGTTTTGGGGTCAGGGCAATGGAGGGTGCTGAGGGACACTGGGGGTTTGGCACCTTTGGGGGTATGAATGGCTGTTTCCTTACGTTTTAGATTTTTTTGGGGGAGGCATTTTTTTGCATTTTGGGGTTCCTTCACATTTTGGGGTTATTTCGTCACATTTTGAGTTAATTCCTTCATGTTCTGGGTGACTTTGGGGCCGTTTCCTCACGTTTTGGGGTCGTTTTTTGGGGTTGTTTCCTCACGTTTTGGGGCCGTTTCCTCACGTTTTGGGGCTGTCTCCTCGGGTTGTTTCCTCACGTTTTGGGGCTGTCTCCTCACATTTTGGGGTTGTTTCCTCACGTTTTGGGGCTGTCTCCTCACATTTTGGGGTTGTTTCCTCACGTTTTGGGGCTGTCTCCTCACATTTTGGGGTTGTTTCCTCACGTTTTGGGGCTGTCTCCTCACATTTTGGGGTTGTTTCCTCACATTTTGGGGCTGTCTCCTCACATTTTGGGGCCGTTTCCTCACATTTTGGGGCAATTTCCTCACATTTTGGGGCCGTTTCTCACATTTTGGGGCAATTTCCTCACATTTTTGGGCCATTTTCTCACAATTTGGGGCCGTTTCCTCACATTTTGGGGCCATTTCCTCACATTTTTGGGCCATTTCCTCACATTTTGGGGCCGTTTCCTCACATTTTGGGGTGGTTTCCTCACATTTTGGGGCCGTTTCCTCAGGTTTTGAGGCCATTTTCTCACATTTTGGGGCCGTTTCCTCACATGTTGGGGCCGTTTGCTGTCTCCTCACATTTTTGGGCCATTTTCTCACATTTTGGGGCCATTTCCTCACATTTTGGGGCCGTTTACCTCACATTTTGGGCATTTCCAGAGACGCTGACCTGGAACAAGCCGAGCCTGAGCGGGGTCGCTCCCCTCCCCCGCAGCCTCCACTCGGCCACCACCATTGGCAACAAGTGAGTCTGGGGGCGACCCCCCCCAAAACCCCCCCCCAAATCCCCCCCTGACCCCCCCTTTATCCTGGGGGGGTCCCTTTGTGTCCCTGTCCCCACCCCAGGGGGGGTTGGGGTCTTTAGGGGGGTGTTTTGTTTTAATTTAATTTTTTAATTACTATGGGTTATCTCATGACCGCTCTCAAACATAAAAATTTGGGGGGTGGGGGTCTCTGGGTGTCCCCCAACCTCTGACCCCCCCAGGAGGGATATTTTTGGGGGTGGGTGCCCCTATGACCCCCCCCAGGAGGGACATTTTTGGGTTCTGGGTGTCTTTGTGATCTTTGTGACCTCTGTAGACCCCCCAGGGCTGTGCAGGTTTTTGGGGTGGGGGTCTCTGGGTGTCCCCCTGACCCCCCCTGATCTCTGACCCATCCCCCCCCCCAGGATGTACGTTTTTGGGGGGTGGGTGCCCCTGGTGATGGATGACGTGAAGGTGGCCACGCACGAGAAGGAGTGGAAGTGCACCAACACCCTGGCCTGCCTGAACCTGGGTGAGGAGGGGGCTTGGGACCCCCAAAACTGACCCCAAACCCACCCTGAAACCCACCCTGAAACACCCCAAACCTCAGCCTGGGTGAGGAGGGGGCTTGGGACCCCCAGACCCACCCCAAATCTGTTCTGGGATCCCCAAAACCGACCCCAAATCCACCCTAAAAACCCCAGAACACCTCCCAAGTCCCTCAAACCCCTCCCCAAATCCCCCAAACCCCACTCTGAGCCCCCCCAAATTCCCCCAAACCCCTTCCCAATTCCTCCAGACCCCTCTGTGACCCCCCCAGACCCCTGTGTGACCCCCCCGTGCCCCCCAGACTCGATGGCCTGGGAGCCCCTGGTGCTGGAGACCCTGGAGGACAACGTGCCGCGGGCTCGCGCCGGGCACTGCGCCGTGGCCATCGCCACCCGCCTGTACATCTGGAGCGGCCGCGACGGCTACCGCAAGGCCTGGAACAACCAGGTGTGCTGCAAGGACCTGTGGTACCTGGAGACAGGTGAGTCTGGGGGCTGCAAGAACCTGGGGGGCTGCAAGGACTTGTGGTACCTGGAGACAGGTGAGTCTGGGTGGGGGGGTCCTAGATGTGCTGCAACACAGGTGTGACAGGTGTAACACAGGTGTAATGCAGGTGCGATGTGAGTGGTACAGGTGTACCCAGGTGTACCAGATGTTCCATGGCTATAATCTACCTGTCCCCAGGTGTACCCCAGGTGTGTCAGATGTAACATAGCTATAATTTACCTGTACCTAGGTGTACCCCAGGTGTGTCAGATGTTACATAGCCATAATTTACCTGACCCCAGGTGTACACAGATTGTTGTGAGTGGTACAGGTGTACCCAGGTGTACCAGATGTTACGTAGCTCTAATCTACCTGTCCCCAGGTGTACCCTGGGTGTTTTAGATGTTACATAGCTATAATCTACCTGTACCCAGGTGTACCAGATGTTCCATAGCTATAATCCATCTGTCCCCAGGTGTACCCGATGTTACGTAGCTATAATCCACCTGTCCCTAGGTGTACCCCAGGTGTTCTAGATGTTACCTAGCTATAATCTACCTGTACCCAGGTGTTCTAGATGTTACATAGCTGTAATTTACCTGTCCCCAGGTGTACCAGGTGTTCCATTGCTGTAATTTACCTGTCCCCAGGTGTTCTAGATGTTACCTAGCTATAATCCGCCTGTCCCCAGGTGTACCAGGTGTTCCATAGCTATAATCCACCTGTCCCCAGGTGTACCAGGTGTTCCATTGCTGTAATTTACCTGTCCCCAGGTGTTCTAGATGTTACCTAGCTATAATCCACCTGTCCCCACGTGTCCCCTGTCCCCGCAGAGCGCCCGCCCGCGCCGGGCCGCGTGCAGCTGGTGCGCGCCAACACCACGTCGCTGGAGGTGAGCTGGGGCGCGGTGCCCACGGCCGACTCGTACCTGCTGCAGCTGCAGAAGTACGAGCTGCCCGCCGCGCCCGCGCCGCCGCCCGTGCCCTCGGTGCCCGCCAACCCGCCCAAGAGCCCCGCGCCCGCC